GAAAGAGTTGAGTTTCACATAATGCATCTGTATAAGCTTTACAAGATCAAGTTACTAAGACTTATAATGATTCATAATGTAAATTAATTTAGTAGAAGCAGAAGCCAACTGTGATAACAAGAATATTCATCTTTAGAAACTTGCAGAAATCTTGACATGGGCTTTAAGCAACAAATCAGGAATGGATGTACAAGTGCATTTAGTTTAACTTTCCTGAGAAGTCCAGTTCACATTTATATTTCATTGTGACTGCAATGAGGAAAACTAGACTTCTGTTCAGACGCTGTTTAAGGTCACATGCTAGCAGCTAAAACCTGGGCTAATGTTACTTGTGGACTGGAGCAATAGCATAGTAGGTAGGGTGTTTGCCTTGCACGCGGCCAACCTGACTTCAATTCCTCCGCCCCTCTTGAAGAATCTGGCAAGCTACTGAGAGTATTCCGCCCGCACGGCAAAGCCTGGCAAGCTACCCGTGATGTATTCGATATGCCATAAACAGTAACAACAAGTCTCACAATGGAGACATTACTGGTACTCACTCGAGCAAACCGATGAACAACAGGAGGACAGTGCTACAGTGCTACAATGTCATTTGCAATCTTCCTCAGACAAAGTCCTACTAGCAGTGGAAAGCAGAGCTTCTCGAGTGAAAACATTCTAAAATCATATGCACTTACTAACTACTGGATCTTGAATACATTATTCTACCTGTTTGATATTTGGTTTTTACATCTCCAAAGAACAAAATTATATTATCTTAAAGATTCAGAGTAAGTATGTCAAGACATTTCAAATATAAGTTCACAATTCCATGTCTGCAGTTCAGAAATTCAAAGTTTTCTAGAAATCAAATTTTCTTGTAAATGCAGCAAAACGAGGATAAAATCTGACTGGAGAGTGTCTTTAAGTACACTGATTGGATACAGAAACTTTAATGCATCTTGTTGCTGACTCATGCTGTAAGGGGCTTAATGGAATATATAGCATAGAAATTGAAGTTAGGGGTCAGAGAGATAATGCAAAGATCTGACTGCATATTCTGCATGTGAGAGGCTCTGAATTTGTTCCATATGGCTCCCCAAGTGTGTAATCTCTGGGCGAGTAGGAAGCCTCTAGCAGCATTCTCTCTCTTGCCACCTGCGTGCGGAGATCTTGAGCTGCTTCCCCACCCGGGACAGCCAATGTCATGGGCGGATGAAGGAGGAAATGAGGGCCAGGCTGGTTGCTGATCATGACAGAATTTGTTCATGACCGTGCTCTTAACATAGTTAAGTATTATTACCCATGTCAATGCCAGGGGAGCTCACAGCTTGCCCTTAGACCATCCAGACCCTCGTCAGGGCCCTGCTTTTGGGATGCTAGGAAGTAAGGGCAACTGAGGCTTCATTCGAGAGAACAGATGACCGGGGGTGAACATAATTCAGTCAATTAACTCCTGAATTACAAAAGCATAGCATTAACTGCCTTTCTATGTCCATACAAAAAGTACATTGCTCTGGATTAACTATGCAAAAGACTTAAAGAGAAGAGAAAAGCAATATTCACAAGTTAACAGAGTCTGCTTAGGAGATAAAGGTAATTGACCAGTTGGGGAAGCAGAGCACAAAGGAAGAGATTACAAATAAACACAGAGGAATGGGAGCACTGTGATGGGAGTAACCCAATAAACCTAAACTCCCTGCGGCAAGGCAGAAAGGACAAATCAATGTTATCCTACACACAAGCTAGCCAGGAGCAGCCTCTCACCTCCACCCCTGCCAAGTACTGTTTGAAATGGCCCCATGAGAGGCCACCTCTCTAAATTGTATTCACTCTCTAAAACTGGAATATTTCTCACTTTGAAAACAGACTCTCAGATTAAGAATTGTGGGCCTCTCCTTATAACAATATCTGTTGCACTTCCAAGGTGAAAGAACTTTATGCTTAATAATAGCCCAGATGACTGTTATGCTACCAAGACCCTCAAGCCCACTTTATTCTGAGAATGAGTTAAAAGATAGGCAAATATTGCCACAACTGGTTACATGTCTTTCCCATTGCTCAAATACTGATTTGAGTAGCAAAGATGTTTTTTTAAAACTAAATATCTATCTCTGCCTAAGCCTCTTAAAAATAGTCTATAACACTCAAGATCTGGTAATCAATTCATGTAAACAGATAAGACCAGTCAACAAGTTCAGCATCTATTACTGTAAGTTCAGCTCTGTATAGATAACACACCATTAAAGAATAAAATAGTACAGTATAATATCTTAAATTATGAGACTCAATTAAGCTTGGTGCTGAATCAAAAAGGAAGAAATGCTTTTATAGGCAATGAAATGAGTTCTAGGCAAATAATTGTTAATCATATATTGGGGAACATAGCCCATTTGAATTCGAGTTTTCTTACATGTAAAACAATTATTTGAAGGTTATTTTATGTTTAATGAATAAAATAATTGAATGAAGTATTTAATATTTTTAATGGAATATTTAAATATTCCATTTTTTGTGTACTATAGCAGGTATGTGATGAATAAATATGAACAATATTTCCAGTTGAGTCTTGAAAAAATCTAAAATAAAAGGATGGAAATAAATATGAAATGGGTCTAATTGAAATACAGTTTGTGTTGTGGACATTGTGGGAAATAAGACTAGAATGGTGAGGCAAATTGAATAGAATATTGAAGAAGGGGAGATTGGGCAGGGATATTATGAAATCTTTTCTTGAAGCAATAAAATAAAGACCTGTGATATCTTCTGAGGTATACAGAGGATTGGGATGAAACATTAAGTTAATTTAGCTTTGTAACATAGTACTAATTTTTCTGGCAGTTTTCAATAGCCCAAGATCTCAGATACCAGAAAACTCTCTCTTCCCCTCTTATAAAATTCAAATTAAGGCATTTTCCTGCAGTCACACCCATATTTTCTTGTCTTGCTCTGGCTTTACCTGGAAGAACTCTGGACAGGAAATAGCACAGAAATATTAGTAGTATTAGCTTTATTCTGCAATACTTAGAAATAAGCACTATTACTTATTGCAGAATGTATCAAAGCTCAAATGTTTTATGAAAAGTGAGGTGATTTTTCCTGTTTGTATTAGACTTATTGTATTAAACTTAATATAATGTAGTTTGTATTAGACTTATTCCTCAAAGTGTCCTTGACAGAAAAATGATGTGTTACAACTACATAATGTTAATTGTATTAACATAGAACCTTGAAGGTATGTTAATTGAGCCTATACAACTTGTGTGGTAATATATATTATATGTGGTTATATATGTAATATATATATATATATATATAATCTTTGTCTTTTTAGAGAATCAATGAACTCATCTTCCCCAAACATGCAAGATCACAAAACACTTTTGAAGGAGATAGAGAAGGAAAGTGAAGGATATTAAATACAGATTAGGAACAGTAACTTAAAACACGATTGCAGTATCTGGGTGTGATTTTTTGCTGTGAATGAAAGCACATCCACTTGGCTGAGATGTTCAATGCCTGCTCCTCAGGCCATGTGTGCTGGGGACAATCAAGTTACACTATGGAGACAGTGCTGTTGTAACTCAGGGCTTCTGCATGCTAGGCAAGCACTCTAGTCCTTAGAGCTATGGATATGCTCTTCTATTTGTCAATGACCTCTTCCTTTATATAGGAAAGTGAAAATGGGGTCGGACTCATCAAAAGTACAGGGAAAAGTAAAAAATGATTTTAGGCTACTCCCCTCTCCTCGTTTTTTTTTTTCTGTAAACTTTCATTTTTTAATTTTTAACAAAAACATCTTTATTTTTATTTTCCCTTCCTCGCAGACCTTTTTCCCTACACTTTGCAAACCAATATAGAACTGTCTTTTGTTTTGGCCACACCTGGTAGTGATCACGGATTCCTTCAGGCTCTGCTCTCAGGGATTATTACTGGTGGGCTCAAGGAACCACATGGGATGCCAGAGATTAAACCCAGGTCCCATAAAAGCAAATGCCCCACCCGCTGTACTACTGCTTCAGCCCCAGTGTAGACTCCTTTTAAAATGCTGTCATGGTTGTCACCTCAACTGGGTTAAGGGATGCTGGTTAAACATTTCTGGTATGTCTGTGTTGTGAAATCTCTGGAAGAGATTAGCATTTGTATCTGTGGATAAAGATCACTTTCATTAATGGACATGGGCATCATCCAATTTGCTGAGGGCCTGGATAGAACAAAAAGATGAAGTACGAATTTATTCTCTGCCCAAGTTGAAGTATCCATTTCTCTTGTCCTTAGACATCAGTGTTCCTGGTTCTTGGGTCTTTGGTCTTGCACTGAACACACCACCTTTCATGGTTCTCCAGTTTGCAGACAGTATCTTGGCCTTCCCAGTCTATTAAGTCAATTCCTATTATTTCATTTTTTTTCTTTTTTCCCCCTTTAGTTAATTTTCTGTATTTAAACATCAGGGAATTTCTAAATCAGTTTATATCTTAGATCTCTCCTCTCGTACCATATTCCATCTACAATAACCTCTGGGTATCCATACTGTTTTATGGATAGGTCAAACTCGACATGTATAAAAACATTTTATTTAATCCCCTGACTCCACATTAGCTTTTGTTGTCCTTTTTTTAAAAAAAAAAACCTGCTTAGTGAATGAGAATACTAACCATTTAACTGCAGCTGCTTCTTCTCTTCCTTGTGTTTCTCATTTAATTTTAGAAACCAAGTCTTAAAATCTTCAAACTCTTCTCATTACCAAAGGCAACAGATCCTGAGAGTTGGTCTACAGAGTTGAGCTTACTAAGGCAGAAGGGGGTTGGGGGGGGGCACATGGAGGCGCTACGGATGGGAGAGGACAGATGGATGAAGGCAGACACTCTGGATGAGTTTGGTGTTGGAATTTTGTATACATGAAACACCCGTGGAAAGTATTGTAAATCAGTGCCTCAAATAAAAAAAAAATCCATGGTTCTAATTTAAGTGCAGCAATAAAACCGTACAGCATTTACAGTAAAATAACAAAGAACTCTTAAACAAAAAAAGGAAGGTTTAATGATTAAAACAGATGAATAAGTTTGTAATAACTATAAACTAAGGTAAACCCTAGAATAAGAAGAATTTTTAAACTGCATGCAGAGTCTAGTTACAATAAAAATAAAAGAAATACAAAAAATATCTCTGCCTCTTAGCAGACTTCAGGTCTTTTTATTTCCAATTCTTGATAATCAAAATATGTACACTTTCACATGCTACTGGAAGAGGAGAAGTCATTATTTGTATAGGATTACAAATATTTTTCACAGATGGAGGGCACAAAAATAAGTGTCTTCCTCCACCTTCTTGGGTCCATCTTGGATTAAAAAAAAGGCACTCTCCTAAAGGTTCCTTAGTAACATCTTTGCTAGACTTAATGACCCACATAATTTCTACATGTAAGATTAATGGTACACTAATTTCACAGATCCAGGAACCACAAGGCACCAGAAATGCCTTTATTTAATTCACATGTCTGACAACTGGCTTTAGAAATTAAACATGACAAAAACTTTGGATACCAGTTATAAAAGTTGGACTATTTCTTCAAAAACTTAATCAAACGGTTAATCACCTAACTTTGGCATGCACAGCCAAACATTTCACAAAGCTGAACCAACCATATAAGATGATAGATGAGGGCTCTTTGAACAGTTCTATTTTAATATTATCTGTTACCAGATCCTTAGTTCCGCCTATTATTCTGTCCCTGCTTTAACTATAACCAAATTCTTTGAACCTGGGTTTAACCTCTCTGCTGAAAATCTGTTAAAGATGCTAAGGTAATTAATTTATGTTTCTCTATGATCATTACAACAAGGAGTAACATAAATCTTCCAGTGCCAGCGGGTAGCTGCCCACTATGAAGAGAATACTTAGAACCCACTTGCTGGAAGCCAACACGAATATGCTTTACTATTAAATGACTCTTATGAGTCATAATGAAACTGCACTTGGGTAGCTAGTTTCAAGTCAAACTGAATTTAAATATTTCACTATATTTACTGCATCCATGTTGTATGCAGTTTTTGATGCTGAATAAGAGATATGCGGCACTTGAAAGCTTCACCACAAGCATCACATTCATGGATCTCTTGAGTTTTCACTTCTGCATGGATCTTCTGATGGTTGACAAGGCTGCGCTGTTGACTGAAACTTCTATCACATTTTTCACACTTATAAGGTTTCTCTCCTGTGTGTATTCTCTGATGCTGAATAAGGCCTGAGTTCCGGCTAAAGGCCTTCCCACATTCATCACATTTATGAGGTTTATTACCTGTGTGTACACCCTGGTGCCGAATAAGATTGCAAAGTTGACTAAAGCTTTTACCACACTGCCTGCACAGATAGGGTCTCTCACCGGTGTGAATTCTCTGATGCTCAATAAGAAATGAGCTCCGGCTGAAGCTTTTCCCACATACAGTACAGAGATAAGGCTTTTCACCAGTGTGGATTCTCTGATGTTGTACAAGATGAGCACTTACACTAAAAGTTTTCCCACACTCATCACATTTGTAAGACTTTTCCTTAGGGTAGACTTCCTGCTGTATAATCAGACTAGAATTTGGGTCAAAACTTTCCTTACTGTCATTGTATGTGTAAGTCTTTTCTCTGGTGTGGATTCTCTGATGCTGAATAAGACCCGAACTTCTACTAAAAGCTTTTCCACATTCCTCACATTTATGCGGTTTGTCTCCTGTGTGGATTCGTTGATGACGAGTAAGGTTGCAGAGCTGACTGAAGCTTTTCCCACACTCTTTGCACTGATAGGGTCTTTCCCCTGTATGAATCCTTTGATGTTCAATAAGGAAAGAGCTTCGACTGAAGCTTTTTCCACATTCAATACAAAGAAAAGGTTTCTCACCAGTGTGGATTTTTTGGTGTTGTATAAGGTATGTACTTAATCTAAATGCTTTTCCACATTCACCACATTTATGAGGTCTTTCTCCAGTGTGAATTCTCTGATGTTCAACAAGTAAAGAGTTACGACTAAAGCTTTTTTTACATTTGGTACAATGATAGGGTTTCTCACCTGTGTGTGTTCTCTGATGCTCAATAAGGTGCGACTTCCAACTGAAGGCCTTCCCACAATCACTACATTTATGGGGCTTTTCACCTGTGTGAATTCGTTGATGCTTAACAAGACTCCTTCTCTGGCTGAAGCTCTGTTTACATTGATTACACTGATAGGGTCTTTCTCCAGTGTGAATTCTCTGATGCCTAATAAGGGTTGAACTTACACTAAAAGTTTTCCCACAGTAATTACACTCATAGGGTCTTTCTCCAGTGTGAATTCTCTGATGTTCAATAACAAACGAACTGCGGCTAAAACTCTTCCCACATTCATTGCATTGAAAAGGCTTCTCACCAGTATGGACCCTTTGATGTTGAATATAATGTGCCTTGCGGACAAAACCCTTTCCACACTCTTCACATTTATGACATTTCTCTTCTGAGTTTAGTCTCTTACGAATGTTAGTATTCCCTCTGAACATTCTCTGTTCTTGTGTCAAAGATTCTCTTGGTATTTCCCATAGGAAGATTCCTCTTTGTTTATCTAATCTACCAACAAGTTCAAAGGTTTCTCTACCCATGGGATCCTGATCCATTTCACTTTTAATTCTTGTGACTATTACACTCTGTGATTCAACATCTTCCTCAATTTCCTCCATTTCTTGTTTCACAGTTGGTTCCTCATTCTTATCTCTGTTTAAAACATCTGAAATGATAATAGAAAAAAAAATCAAACTATCAAACTGTTATTTGAAGAAACTGTCAGGAAAATAAGATTAAGAAAATAATCTACTCTTCAACAAAATATAATAGCTTACCTGAGCACCATTGTAAGAATTAAACTTGTATACTATAGATATCAAGCATTTAGAATGGTACCAGGTAAAGTTACATCATTGTACCAATGTTTATCTTGGAGAAAAGTTAGAAAAGTTAGGATATTTACAAAACAAAGAAAAAGTCATTAAGACCATGTAGAATTGGAAGGATGGTAGCATAACAGTTATAAATTATGCATGGTAAGACGGGTCAACAAAGAAAAAGAACAATTAATGCAGGGATGAACCAGTGTGTCAAAGAAGAAAGCATAATATGAAAAGAAAACAATAAATTCTAAAAATTCAGGATATAACATTATTGAGATGTGTGTGGCTAAACTGAGAAAAAGGAACACATAACATGATGCTGAAAAGAATATTGTGATTGAAAGTTTTCTATGTTTTGTATGCCAGGAATTAGAGATTGTATGCAAGCATCTATAAAATGACAAATTACAAACGAGGAAAGAAAAGAATATGCAAATGAAAACAGTAAGGAAAAAGTTCTTATGTTAAGTGACAAAATGATCTTTTAAAAAAAGTGTATCAAAGTGACATGGAGTTTATGACAGAAAAAGGAAATGCAAATTAATTTAAAAGAATAAGGTCATAAAAGAAACAAAGGCAAAGAACATTCTATCATAGTTTCTGACTTCACCCATCACAAGTCACATCCCATTCTTCAAGAGTATACATGATTCCTACTCCTTTAAAGATACAAGATTCTGAGTCTACATTATATCTATAAAGTGAAAATCTAGCATATCATAATGGCTTGTGAAATAACAAAATAACATATAGGATAATTACATCTTCCCTTGACATATTTCCTGATTTTCTACTTCTTACTCTTGCTAGATAACTTCACTATAAGATTCAATAGCTACCAAATTTACATATATTCCTAAGCAATTTCCTTTTCAGACTGCTTCTTTTATTTTAATTTTCTAGCTTTCTGGGGAGATGTCTGACTTTTCATTTGCTTTAAACTGACCATAAAGTTGTTCTATTCCAGAATCTCCCCCTTTTTGTTACTCCCCAAAGAAACATATCAGAACCTTACTTTAGGCTAAGAACTAAAGAGTATTTTTTTCTCATCTCCACATGAACTCTTTTTTTTCCCACCGAATAAAATTGGGTGAATTTTTTTTCTATCTTCAATCTGTATTGACAGTGACACCTTCCTATTAACATACAAATATGCCTAATTTAATCTTAAACCTACAATTCTTCTCTTGATTAAAGCCAAGCTCTGGTGGGGGATGGGGGGAACCTTAACATAGTAACTCCAGTTTCTCACCACCTTTTTTCATGGCCAACTTTTTTTCTTTTTTGTTTTGGGTCACACCTAGTTATATTTGGAGGTTACTCCTGGCACTGGACAAGGATCACTCTTGGTGAGATTTGGGGGACCATATGGATGGCAGAAATTGAATGTGGGTCGGCAATGTGCAAGGCAAACACCCACTGTATTATTGTCCCAGCCCCCTTTTTTCTATTTATTTCATAGCTGTGAAGTAAAGCTTGTTTCTAATATCTAAGAGCAACTTATTAAATCACCAGTGACATTAGAATAACAAACAAATTGATGTTCTTTTGTCATTTTACTCAGCAGCATATGATGCTTGAATTTCTTGATACTATCTTCTTTATGTTCTTAAGCTGTTGCCATCTTCTAATTACCTGTGTTTTTCATTTACTACACTTCCATACATTTCTGTTCTTCTGTCAACAATTATATTATTTGTACACACACTCAGATATTTTTATCATTATCTTTTTTTCTCTATACTTTCTGAATATCACCACCAGTCTCAAAAAGGCCTATTATTAACATCATCATCTTCTTCATCTGCTTTCCTATCTCCATCTCTTAAAAGCAACCACTACTATCCTACAGTCCCTAGGCAGGAAATAATCTTAGATTTCACCTCCTTAATATTAATCAGTCACCAAAATCAGATGTTCTAACAACTACCTTTTCCATTTCCTGCAAAACCACCCTTTCCTTAGATAATTTCAAAAGCAACTTAATAATCTATAAATTAGTACATTCCACATAATCACTTCACTAGAACCAAAGAGTTTCATAAAATTATGTTTATATGTGAATTCATTAGCATTCCACCACCTTTAAGATAAAAAAAATACACCTCTCTAAAATATGATAGTTGACATCGTCTCCAAGCTGCAATTTACTATTACACTTTAAGTGGGCAAACAGCTCATGCTATCTGACAATTCACTGTAAATCTCATTTACTAAACGGTTCTCAAATTGTTTACCTTATAAACTGCTGACTAATCTTTAATATTCGATTCTATTCTTTACAAAGCCATCCCAAAGTTCATCAGACATATTTAGTTCTGTTTTACTTAATTTATGTATGTGTGTATATTTTTTCATGAGTGCTGGTCCACAACACCATTAGAACTACTATTGTACTCTGAACTGTTTGTGCTTCTTCTTCTACTGGATTATATCCTGTGTGAAAAGGGACAGTCACCTTGTAATATTTCCCCAATAGCTCCAGGAGTCCATATCAAGGATAAAGACAAAATATTATTTTCAGACTGCTTGAATAGCTACCACAACTCTTAGAAGAATTATATCAAAAAGCAGTAACAAGAAGACTAATATATGAATTGAAAATTGGCTCTTACTACCCAGAAATTAGTTGGCAAATACTATAAAAAATTAAAATATGTTTTGCAACATTAATAAAAATATAAAACACAGAAACAAACTTGGTGCAAGACTAAAAGCAATCATAAAATTTTTCTGAAGGGAACAGGAATTGGGATCAACCAAATTGATTATTTTTCCTCAAATCAATTTATGAACCTACTGCAATCTGATCAAAATCCCATTAGTTAAAAAAAAAAACAACTCAACGAATTTTAATTTCAATAAAATACAGGAAATTACTGAAACATCCTGAATAAAAATTGGTACATCCTATCAAATATAAAATGCAATATATTGCTAAACAACCGCAGCATTGATATAAAAATATTGATTTATCAGATACCCTAATAAAGAAAATAAGTGACTTGCTTCCACATAGATTGCCTTGAGAAGACCTATAAGGTGTGGGTATGGTGGAAACATGCGGGGGTCTCTTCTGGGGTATCTGCCATATTTGTACTGTATGTTTGCATCTTGTGAGCTACAGTAAGAGCAAACTCAAATGTGGTCCTTTCAGAAGAATTTGGAGTTAAGCTAAAATATCTAGTCAACCTGTTGCAGCTACTTGGGATGTTATAGAACTGTAATCTATTTAGAAGCTAAAGGAACATATTCAAGAACTTAAGAAGGGAGTTAGTATGTCAAGGAGAAAGAGTACAAAGACATCATTCCTGACTTTACAGAAGTGATGTAATTTCTGATTTCAGTCCTTTTCTGATAGCAAATTACAACCCTGCTTATATACATGAACCATCTCTGGGACTATAACTTTTCTTAGTGAATTAAGCTAACATTAATGAATGTCTATTATCCTTAACCCAATAGTTTTAACAATGTGGTAGCTGATGAAGAGAGATAAGGCAAGGACATGATAAAGTTAAAGTGCCTGAACTCTATGCCAGAGACGTTGTTGGTTTACTTTCTCTGTAAAGGGACAGAAAAGAAATGTTTGGCTATGTAAGCCATGTGGTCTCTGCTGAATTAGCCAACTCTGCAACTATAGGGTGAGAACAGTCACAGGCAACACAAAAAGGAACGGGAATGTCCATGTTCCAACACGACTATATTTACAAAAACAGGCAGTGGATTAGATTTAGCTAAGGATGAGACCTTCTACTCCCATCAAGAGAGATTGTAATTAATAACTTTCTCAGGGAATGGTAGAAAGGGGAAAGGGGAAGGGGAAAGGGGAAACACTTTCAGTCTAAGGCTGGGCATAGTGCTTGATAATTACTGAATGAATAAACACTTGAACAAATAACTGAAGAGGTTATAATCAAAGAAGAGAAACAGTGAGTTAACAGTGAGATACAATAATTCCCAATTCTGTCAAAGCCTTATATGACTCATAGAGACTAGAAAAAGTCACTAAAACTGGAATTAATTTCACTTGAAAGAACTGTAAGATCAAGAACCAAGGGACTGGGAGCAGGTAGAGTACGTGATTTTATGCTGTAAACCTGAAACTCAATTCTGACACTACATCTCCACTGAGCATCTCTGAGTATAGACCTGGAAGTCCCCTGTACACAGCTGGACTAGGTAACACCAGGAGTAGCTCCTGAGACACCCTTATCACTGTGGAGAAAACTATATTTAAGAAAAAGGTTTTTCTTTGCTTTTGTTTTGGATTTGGGGATTAAACCCAGTGGTGCTCAGGGTTTACTCCTGACTCTACATTAAGGGATTACTCCTGGTGGGACCTGGGGGACCACTAGGGCTCTGGGGATTAAACTCAGATTGGCTATTGCAAGACAAGCACCCTACCTGCTATATTATCTCTCCAGCCCCATTGAAAATATTTTTAAATTAAAAAATATACTAAAAATCAAGCTGTGTACCATCAATGGAGTTACCAACGCTTTTTAAGTTTTAAAAAAATGTCACGAGAAGGTGTGAAAAATTCAAATCACAAAGCTACAACACAGCTGTGTTATGAAGCAAAATGAAGTGAGTGAAAACACTACTTTAGAACTGTTGAGTAATGGTGGTCTCTCAGCAAGGCAGGTCTCTTCAAGAGAATAAAGTCTGTATAAAGAGGAGGAGGAAAAGATTGGGGGTTGGGGGCGAAGAATAATAAATGCTGAGATGCTATGTTTCCGTTGAAAGAGTGCCTGAAAATGCAAACTACAGATGGGCTTGCTGCCATGCCTTTGTCCATATGGTACTCACATTCTACAGCAGGGAAAGTCTAGGGTGGTATTTGTGTAATCCTATCAACCAGGATACAGTAGGTATGGGTAATGCTAGCAGTAATTCAGAGATACCATGGCATTCTGAAAAAAACAGTCTGCTGCTGATAGGACCAGTGATTAAAGCAGTACGCAGAAAGTAAGAGACAATACTAGAAAGCTAGGCAGGCACTATTCTGGGGAGGTTCTCGTATGTAGGATAAGGAATTAAAATTTTTCATTCTTTTTGTTTTGTTTTGTTTTTGTTTTTTTTTTTCGGGTCATATCTGCTGATGCATAGGGGTTTTTCCTGGTTCTGCACTCAGGAAGTAATTACTCCTGGCAGTGATCAGGGGAGCATATGGGATGCTGGGAATCGAACCCGGGTCGGCAGTGTGCAAGGCAAACGCCCTGCCTGCTGTGCTATTGCTCTAGCTCCAAGATTTTTCATTCTGAAAATGTTCAAGCATTAGGCTCTTCAAGTCCGTGGTCGCCACTGAACAGATATCTGACTTGCTTGCTTTTATGTTTTTTTGCTAGCCATTTACACTCTGAAGAAGCCTGTATTCTCTCTTACACATATTTCCCCACCCCCCTTACATCTTTCTAAGGGAGTTTGTTCAATAAAAACTACCTGCTTCACCAAAAAACACCCAAAACCATTAGAAACTAATATAAAACCACTCTGATGGAAGTAAAGAGATATACTAGAAGAAAGGGAAACTAGTGCCAATACAGTAATTTACGGGCTAATGCAATAAACTATCCAAGAATTGAATCTTAAATTTTTCATTCAATAACACAAATATTTGAGAAGCACATAGGATACGTTTGGCTTTGTACTAACCTGCTAGAAAATTAAAATGAGAATTAAACATCCCCATGATGAACAGTGTGGCTTGAGAAAGAACAAAGAATTCAATAAAGTAAGTATATTTAAGGTAGTACCCTAAAAGCAGTGCTTACTTCTAAAGAGAAGATTTATTTTCAAATCTTAATGGATTTTTTTTTGGAGATTTTCCAGGTGTAAGTTACTAGCAAGTTCTTCAAAAGACAATGACAGGAATTTGGAACTCAATAGAAAAGATATAGTAATATTGATGGTGAGAGCAAACAACATTTATATTATACTTCATTGCTAGTTAGTGTCCTGAGAGCTTAACAAGTACTATATCACAATAATACCAAGAGATGAATGCTATTATTATTTTCATTACATAAGGAACCAAGACACAAAGAATGAAAGCAAATTCATGCATGATCATGCATGTCGGTAGGTAGTGGCAGATTTTAGGCAGATTCTGTGCAGTTATATTCCATATTGCCTCTCTTTGGTGAGACAAAGATGGGACTTATCATCACATAATGGTACCTGATGAACTGTAGATAAGTTGTGCTGAAGAACTATACGGACCTAGAAGTAGTGCAAGAATACAAGGCTATGGAGGAAAACAACAGAATTTCAAACATGAATGATGAGGGAACATAAATGAAGCTCATAAAGACTCCACTGTACTCGACAATTGGGTTATTAACCGGTGCTACAGTATATCATATATATTTAATACCAAACAATTTAAGGGAAGCTAGAGAAGCCATAAAGGAAGCTCAGTGATAATGAGACCAAAAAGAGCAAAAAAATAAAAAAAGCACAGAATACATAATAATCTTATTAAATTTGGTTACAAAGAGAACAAATAGCAAGTTACAGAAAGTATCAAGAAGGAGACTGTGCCTGAAAGCAATTTTCTCTTTTCTCTTTCCTCCTCCTTTACCCAACTGGAAGAGCCATGATATGCAAGTGTTCTTATTTGACACTAGTCGAGTAAAAACAGAGACACACAGAGACTTAGCTATATGGAGAAAAAAAAAAGCAAATATCAATTCTTTTAGTTGAAGAATTTCTCTTGCTCAGGGAGATGGCTCAGCGGGCTGGAGCGGATGCTCTGCAACCAAGAGTTTCAATTCCAGTTTCAATTCCTGCTACCCTTATGGCTTCCCACCCCGCTCACCCACATGAACCTCAGGGAGACGCTCCTGAGCACCATCAGGTGTGCCTAAAAACCAAAAGAGAAAAAAGAAAATGGATAAAGGTAATTTCTCTTGTTATGTTGAGCAACTCAAGTGGGAGAGAAGAAATGACAGCTTTAATAACCTAAGATAGGATCTGAAGTCTGCAGAAATGTAATGACAAGGTAGCAAGACAATATGCTAGTAATCATTTATATATGGGCTCATGGAGTAGAGGAGGAGAAGATAAGAGGGAGGTGGTGGGCAGGAACGAAGAAGTCAAGGAAAGGGAAACATTACAAAAAATGAGTAGGTTTCCTCACGATCTCACTCATATGTGGAGTACTAAAAAAAAAAAAAGCTAGGGAAGAGATAACGGGCAGTGAAAATGAACTACCAACAGAACTGAGGAGGAAGGTTGTGTGAAGAGGGTTAGAAGGGTAAGAGACAGTGGCAGAGGGATACTGGCACTCTGGTGGTGCAACAGCATTGTATGCCTAAAGCATGAATAGTCATGCTATGATAAAAAGCATTAATTTTTTTTAACTGGAAAAGGTGAAGTAGGAGAGGTAGGAAGATAAGACATAGTTCACCTGAGCAGCGACTATGTCTATTTTAGTCACCCTCGTTTAGTTATAGCCATAAACACCCACCACTAGAATAAACTGGTCAGAGAATGCAAGACTGGGATTTAAGGTCTGCCTACGAAACTTTTGGTGGTGGAATCACTGATGTGAGTTGTTGAATCAAATGTAAAGCAGGGTCGCACAATATTGTCAAGACACAAGAAAGCTAAAGTAGATACTCCCTCTTCCATGGCGTGGGTTAGCATAGAGAACAGTCTGAAACAAGATGAAAGTCTTGGTGGGAAGGACCAAAAGAAGCTGACAAAGGACAAGGGATTTCACTGGTAGAACAAGATGGCTTAGGCCCTCAAGGACAGGCATTTTGCCTCAAAATAGAAGACCTACACTTTGGGATCAGAACAGACAAGCTGGGGGAACAACGACTCCTTCCTTGTAGCCCTGAGACCAAGGATGAGAAGGAAGGAGATGTGGGAGAATAATCAGTGCCTGCCAGAGAAGGGGTGTCCTTGGGAAAGAGCCAGGTTTTGGTTAAGGCCAGGAGGGGTAAGGAACATTATGTGAAGAGGAACAGGGGATCCAGAAGGCAGAGTGAAAGGGGGTGGGAGGAAAACTGGGGGAGGATGAGCCAGGAGAGAAAGTACAGAGCAATATGGGAGTAAGATTATGAGGACAGCAAGCCAGCAAAGTCTTTGTATTTTGGTCAGTGAGTGTTAGTCAGTAGATATTTTGATCAGCGAAAACTGCGGATTCTTACCCAGGGAGACCAGGTTCCCGTAATTCTCCATCATGACATCTTTGTACAGGCTTCTCTGGGCGGCATCCAGGTAATCCCACTCCTCCTGGGTAAAAAAAACACAGCCACATTCTCAAATGTCAGTCAGCAACCCCTGGAACAGCTAGCTTGCTGTAATCAGTTCTTGCCTTGAGGATAGCTCTACCAGGAAAAGTGGCAGAAGCAATCACTGACCCCTGCAGGGAGGGAGGCTGGACCGAACATCAGGGAGAGTTCCAAATGAGGCCACCGGTGGGATGCGACTGTCACTGATGGGCATGTCTAACCAGAGGCTGAGGGAGCTGGACCAGAGCAGCGAGGGGCCCAAGCACAGGGTTTTTCTGTCCTAATAATTTGGATTCCCACATTTTAATTTCAGTCATAAATCGGAACCTGGTATCTTAACCCTCGTACACTGTCCCATGGAGTCCTGCAGCTTCCTTCCCCCTCTTTGCCCGGCTCCAATCCTCCCTGCACCCCGACTTGCGATCCTGTTGAATTGCTTGCAAGTTTCTGTGTGTCTACCTGAGGTCTAGGCATCGTGAATGCACAGAAGAGGGTCAAAAATTGGTGCTGCACCTGAAAGAACGAACAAACACCCCAGAGCACTAGTTTGCAGCAATGCACCTCCCCCTGATTGACCAGTCCGGACCTGGAGTCCCCACGGGCATTTCTCTGCAGGGCCCTGGCCCTAGAGCCCAAGGACTGCCAAGCGGGGGGCCGAGGAGGCGCGGCCTGGCTCCGGTAGTGGCCAGGGAAGCCGGAGTACCCGGAGAGGATGACTTACCTTTGCCTCCGGCGGGGGACTCGGGGAGGCCATCTCCCGGCGGACCAGGAAATCAGGGCAGGAATCCGGGGTGATCGCAAGGAAAGAAGCTTCTGCGGAGGCCTAGCCGGCCGGTGGAAACGAGGCCCGATGGAGGCGAGGCCTCCGGGCTAGGTTTGGCCAGGTCCTGCCTCGGTCCCTAAGCGGTCACGACCCTAGCGGCACATTACCCGCGCTTCTGGGCTGCTCCCCAACCCAAACCCGGTCCTCGGCCAGACTGCCCAGCCTCCCGGACCTCCCTGCAAGCCTCCTCCGTGTTGTCAGCTTCTCCTCCTTTCAGCCCAGCAGCTCCCCGGCCGCCCGCCCCCGGACAAGAAGGCGTTACCCGAAACATTCCCGGGAAGCCCCCCGACACGCCCCCGAACTACAACTCCCGTCATGCTCCGAGAGAGCGCCGAGGGCCAGCTGCGGTCCGCGACGGAGGTCGGTCGGACTACACTTCCCGGCGTGCACAGGCGGGCAAGGAAGCGGCGGGTGGAGCCTTGAGCACGAGGACGGAACCTGTCACTAAACTCAACACGCGATTGGCTGGTCTGGGTCACGGCGCTTCCGGCGGTGGGCGGGGCTTTGGTGTCCCGGCCGTCCCTCAGCCATGGCGGCGCTCTCCGTGTCCGGCGTTCTGAGAAGGGGCCTCACGCGGGCAGCGTCTTGGACGCCACGCAGACCACTCTGGTCTGGGTCCAGGTAAAGCGAGAGAACGGCCGTCAGGGCATGTATATCTCTATATATGGGAAGTCTGATGAGCTCTGGAGGGCCAAAGGGAAGGACGTGAAAAGCGCCGCGCCGTTCGGACGGGACGCGCAGGGGAAGGGCGGCAAGACGCGTGCCGGTGCCGGGTTCGGTCTCGGCGAGTGCTCGAGCCCGCTCGCTTCTCTCTTGGTTTCCTCACGCCAGAAGTGCCCGCACCTCCTGCCCTGCCCTTGCGTTTCTCTTCCACTTCGCGCGGTCGTTTCCCCCCCCCCCCCCCAACCTGTGGTCCCAGGTATGCAGCGTTTCAGGGAACTGGCGGCTCGTGTGCAGCGACCGGGAGAGGTGGGACCCCCGCACGGGGAGGAAGAGTTTTGCCAACGACTAGGCAAGTTACTGGCAAAGCACCCTTTGGCCCCCAGCGCTAGTCCCCTTCTGCCATCGCCAAACTCACCGGCGCTCGCTCGGAGCATCAAAACTGGGACGAGTCTTCAGGGATCGGTATTTGCCCTCTTTGATCGCAAACGTCTTGGCTAGGTCGAATTTGTTCTTTCCCTCTCTCCATCGGCTCCTTTGTTGATTAGCTCCTCCCCCTCCCAGTTTGGACGCGCTTTTCTTAATTTTGGATTGCACGCTTGTTTCCCTTAACCAGTCTCGTTTGTTTGTTTTTGTGCCAGACCCAACGATACTCTCTGGAGCCACTCCTGGCGGTGCTCTGGGGACCGTCCGGGACGCCGGGGATCGAACCCTGGTCCGCCGTGTGCCTGGCATGCGCCTTTCTTACCTGCTGTCCTGTATCGCTCAGGGGCCCTCATTTAACAAATCTTTATAGAGTCCTTTCCATAGCCACGTTATGGGGTCCATTGTTGGTGATGGACCGTATCTTTGTTCTTGGGAAGCACATTTGTGGGGATGGGGAGGGACAATGCAATAGATGGCCTTGAATTTGAATTCAGAACGTGGTGCATAGCAGGAGGAAAACTGCAGGCCTAGAAGAGATGCCTGCCCCTGGGTGTATTCTTTCCGTCCACTCTGGTGAGACTTGGTGGGGGTAGTTTGAGGGGAGACTCAGAAGCCGAGGAAGTAGGAGGTGAAGGATGGTTGGTTCTTAGAAGAGGTTTCCTGAAGGCAGCAGGAGAATGTGGAGTCCAAGAGGAATTTTCTTCCTCTCTGACAGGTGGGGAGAAAATGTAGTATATTATGTAGTATATTATGTAGTACATTATCGGGGCCCCAGTAATACTCCACTAGAGAGGGAAAGTTGATTGAAAGATTGTTGCAGAAAGACTTAATTGCTGGAAAAGACTAGGAGGCAGAGAGGAATAACATTTCAAACATGTTCTTGGCCACATGTCACCTACTTCTAGGCCTTTGGTTTTTGTGACTCATCCTAATCAGATGCCAGCTTCATCAAAGACAAGAATCTGTTTGTGGACAAGTCTTTCATTAAGCACGAAAATAGTTTTTCCAGGCAGATTCTCTGACATTGGCTCCCTAATGCAGTCATTGTTACTCCAGTAGTTTTCAGTAGCTCCCCAAATCAGCAAAGCAGGTATTTATTTTCAGAAATGTATAATCTAGCACAGTGTTCTTAACTAGGGACAGTTTTGCCTCCCAAGGGCTAATGTCTCTTTGATATGTCTGGAGGGTGGGCTCTATTGGCATTTAGTGGGTAGAGGACAGAGATGATGCTGACCATCCTGCTGTGAAGAGGACACTGTTCCCCATTACAAAGAATTGCCAGTACAAAAAAAAGAGAAACCATTTAGAGAAGTCCTAAGTGGAGTAGGACATTAAATTAAAACTCAAGGAGAATCCTCATAAACTGTAAAATGCTATTGAAGTTGAGAGAAACATATTTTGCTTGAGAAGAATCAAGTAAAACTTCTCGGGAGAGACTTTTTTCCTAATACTTACAAGCTGAAAGAAGATTTTCATAAGTGGAGATGAGATACAAGAGGCATTTTCCGAAGACAGGCAATTTAAGTAAAACAGGAACTCACGTAGTTTTGTTTGGGCATAGACTTTATACTAGAGATTTGTCGTAGATGAGGTTTGAGGGTAGATTGGGTGTAGAATATTAAGATCCAGTAATCCAAGACAATGATTTGCCTGTTTGGCTCATTTTGGTGAAGTCTTAGAACATGTAAAATCTTTAACTGCCTTTTGATTATTTTTCTGTACCCGGTCAGTTTGGCCATAAGTAGGCAATTGTCATCCTGACAGCACCACACTTAATTTCTAAGTGTGCAAATGTATTCAGTTGGTAGACAAGGTTGAGCCCAGTGTTGATCGAGTTATCAGTTTGTTAAGTAATGAACCATTTCACATACTTGTTTTCAATCATTCCAGAAAAGAAGAAAAGCCATTGGTAGTTGAGACAGTAGAAGAAGTGAAGGAAGAATCCAGACTTGTGTGCCCACCTTTACGAAGCCGAACGTATATTCCACCTGACGATCTCCAGAACCGTTTGGAATCCTGTGCCAAAGAGGTTTTTGGCTCATCTGTTTCTAGCAGTTGGCAAGACATCTCTCTGGAAGATGGTCATCTAAAGTTTAATTTCCTGACACGGTTAGCTGATGACTTAGGCCACGCAGTGCCTAATTCTAGACTTCACCAGATGTGCAGGGTCAAAGATGTTCTGGATTTCTATAATGTCCCTATTCAGGATAGATCTAAATTTGATGATCTTCTTGCCAGTAATCTGCCTCCTAACTTAAAAATTACTTGGGGATACTAAGCGGATCAGAAGAGGAATACATTGAAATCATCGGGCTATTTAACCTTGAGGAACGCTATCAGAACTGTTCTCTAAACTCTTTGTGGAGGAAAATTTATCTTTTCTCATACCATGAGTGAACAGAATTTTCTTTTTTCATATTTGCTGAAACTTTTTTCATAGACCACTATTTTATGAAAATGTTCTTCAGAAGACATTATAATGTAGATTTAAATAAGTGGCCACTACAAGTTTACATGTGGTCTTTTTCAGAAGCAGAAAATGATGCATGGAAGTGTATTGATCCTGTTAGATCTATTAAATCTAAGAGGTTATTACATGTACATGTACAAACAAGGAAACATATTTGTAAAAAGAAACATAAAAGCATATAATCTAAAATGACAAGTGTCTTTTTTTCACTGTATTATTCTAGTAGAAATAAAAATATTGATATGGATTAATCTGTGAGAAAGCTTTTTTTTTTGAGAAAGCTTTTTGAAGTGTTTTGTGTTTTAAAAAAATGTTAATAGAATATACTGTTTGCTTTGCAATTTCTTTAAAATTATAAATGAAAAAAATTAAAATAGGTGCCAACCACTAAGTGTTGTGACTTTTAATAATTAGGTATACCAGATTTTATATCTAAGTGAGTACTTTCTTTGAAGATTATACATGATGCAGGAAGAGTCCAGTTAGGACCATGACCCCTGGGTTCTGATCTGGTGCCAGGTTTTCTTTTTTTTTTTTTAAATAATTCATTTATTTATTGAATCACCGTGGGAAAAGTTACAGAGCTCTCAGGTTTAGGTCTCAGTCATGTAAATATCAAACACCTTTCCCTTTACCAATACTTATTTTTTACCACGAACCCCAATAGTACCCCACCTTCCACCCCTCCCAATTCCTGTGAGGCAGATGAGTTCTATTTAACACTATCTACTTTGACTAGATTCATTGTTTTGATAAAAGATGCACCATTATTGTTTAGAGTTTATGCCCCTCCCCCCCAAATCAGACATGCTGAAAAAGCGTTGTGAAATGATTTGCTTTCTACAGCTGGGTTCAAGAATTAAATGTTGGTTTTGGATTTCTGCTATTTTACTTATTAACCCTGGAAGTATTTCTATTAAAAGTTAGATAGTTAAGAGATTGGTTTCTGTGCTCTGGAGTCGTGGCCGTGCCGGAGAGCCGCTCGTGGGGGGCAACTGGTGACCTCGGTAGGGCGTGAAGGATGGGCCAGAACGCCCCCTTTCCCATGAGGTCCCTGTCGCCCCTGACCCCCGGCTCATACCTGCTGTCCACAAGGCTCCCGTGCGGCCGCCATCTTTCTTTTCAGAGAGGAGAGCACCAGGTTTTCTTGACCCGCATAGTTGAAAGAATTTAGACATGAGTCAGAAAAAAGGAATAAAAGATGTATAAGGCATATTATACTAAAAGTAATAGTACATTTAAAAAAAAGGTAATAGTACATAATCTCAGAATTGGAGTGTGGTCATACTCTTGAGAGACTAGTAATAAGGTAAAGGCCCTCCCGTTGATCATCGATTTGCTCGAGCGGGCCCAGTAACGTCTCCATTGGAGACTTTGTTGTTACTGTGTTTGGCATATCGAATACGTCATGGGGAGCTTGCCAGGCTCTGCCGTGTGGGCGAGATACTCTCGGTAGCTTGCCGGGCTCTCTGAGAGGGGCGGAGGAATCGAACTCGGGTCGGCCATGTTGGCTGCGTGCAAGGCAAATTAAGGCTGGGATAGTTATGATTTGGGGGGGCACGGGGGAGAGGGCAGGACGACTCTGGGGTGAAGATTTCCTAGAGTATTGTTATCACCCAAATTCTGACCTTATTTGATTACTACAGGCGGTTGATAGATTTTTTGTTTTTGTTTTTTTTTATAATTTGGAAGTTGTTCATGGGTCACTTAGTCTATATATATATATATATATATATATATATATATATATATATATATATATATCTCCAGCCATCTAATATTATTCTCTTGGCTCTGACCAGTATACTATGGAGTCTTGATCTTCCTTGTTCTTGGCTCTGAGTGTTTAACATAACACCTTAACATACACAAAATAGGTATGATTTCAAGGGAGTAATCTCTGTAACAGTTTACCAGAAAACAATTTCATTTTATATATCAAACTGACAATTTGAATAACCATTACTGTGATAAGTCTGCAGATTGATATACTTAATTTGTGGTAATTAAATAGCAAGTTACTAGATAGTTTTGAATGACAAAATTAAAGAATAGTCAGGTGGCCCCTTGGCAATGAGTGCAAAACAAAACCAAGAACATGATTTAAAAACCTTCCTGCCACTAGTCCCTACCTCCAGCCAGAGGATACCAGCCCAAAGGCTAAATTAAGGCCCCACTCTATGTGGAAGGGCATCCTGCTCAGTAGGAACAAAGACCTTGATAACATAAGTCTCAGTCCTTCCCTAATTACGCCTATTGAGGACTGACTTGCATAGAAAATTCTAAGCTTCAAGAGGCCTGTAAAAGCTTTTCAGAAGCAGGCTAGGTGCAAATCAGAGGTGACCTGCACCTTTTACTCTGCACTCCAATTTTTTGTTCTGATGAAGTTTTTTGTCTGCACAGAAGCCATCCCACACCACCTTCTGTCATCCACAAGCCACACACCATCATCCTATTAAACTTACCCAACACCTTGCCCTCCTGGGAGTTCAGAGGGGACAAAGGCATACTTGGCAGTCCCCCCAAATCGTGAGTTTCTTGAGTTAGATTTGGTCTTTGAGAGAGGAATACAGCTTTAGGGATGAAGAAAACCTTCAGAGAAATCAGGAGTTTGAATGAAAGCCAGAGTCTGAAATATAGACGAATGCTCTCTGCTTCCCAGAAACCATTCTTGAATCCTCTTCCCTTTTCTTTTCAGGGATGAGTTCCAAGAAATGGTCAGGAAGTGAAAGGGCAAACCAGGAAAGTCTCCAACCACTCTTCCCTGTCTCCTCAGAACAGGACAGGCACAATTGCTCTACATCCTTGAGCCCTGCTCTAGTTTTACAAGTCTTGGAACAGTCTGAAATAAGCATATTCTGCTCTGCAATGAGTGAGGAGTGAGTCTGCTCTGATCAGTGATCTGCAAAGACCAGCCCTCCTTAAAGATCTCAGTCTGTTCTAGGAAAGGGGCATTGGGGAAAGGGTACAGACAGGCATTTAATGATTCCAAGAAAGATTTGACATTTACAAAGTGGTGTTTTGCTGGGGTTTAAACTTCAATGAGGCATGTATGATCGAAACATCTCCTAGACTGAAAACTAGCCAGTCATGGCTGAGTACTCTTGCTTGGGAACAGGCTGAAACCAACAGAGGAATCCACCCACCACCCCTACCTGCTTCCCCCAGCTGCTCAGAGCAGTATCTAGTGAGGGCAACTCCCTGAACCTTGTCACAGTGAACCCGGTGTCCAACAGTCTGCAAACCCATCATCTCACTTGTTATCACTCACATCAAACTTCCTACAACACCGAATCCTGCGAGTCTGTCAATTTCACCACTGGGTTCCTGACCCAAAGCAGGAATTTCATCAATGAATTGAATGAAGAAGTGCATCAAAATCCTGGGCTGTCAGGGAAAGTTTCTCCAGAATAGAGATGAGATATGGAAAGTAGTCAAGGCTTGGACTTACATGCTTACTTTATTAGTCACGGTCCTCCTGTTCATTGATTTTCTCAAGCGGGCCCAGGCTCTCCGAGAGGGGTGAAGGAATCGAACTCGGGCCGACTATGTTGGCTGCATGCAAGGCAAACGCCCTATTGCTGTGCTATCGCTCCAGCCCTTTATTATTATTATTATTTTTTATCAGTGAAACACCATGAGGTACAGTTGTAGACTTACACATTTTTGTGCTTGGGTTTCAGTTATACAATGATCAAGTACCCATCCCTCCACCAGTGCTCATTTTCCACCACCATGGGTCACAGTATCCCTCCCAACCCCATCCCCGTCATTCCACCCTGCCTCTGTGGCAGGGCATTCCCTTTTGTTCTCTCTCTCCTTTTGGGTGTTGTGGTTTGCAAAAGAGGCATTGAGTGGCAATAATGTTTGGTCTATAGTCTACTTTCAGCATGCTTCTTCCATCCTGGGAGGATCCTCCCAACACCCTTTATTTGGTGCTCCCTTCTCTACCTGAGCTCCCTTTTCCCCTAACACGTGTGGCTGGCCTCAAAGCCATGGAGCAAAATTCCTGCTACTAATCTCGGGTATTCTTGGGTGTTAGTCTCCTATTTTGTTACTTTATGTTCCCCAGATGAATGCAATCTTTCTATGTCTATTCTCCTCTTTCTGACTCATTTCGCTTAACATGATACTTTCCATGTAGTACCACTTGTATGTAAATTTCATGACTTCATCTTTTCTAACACAGGCTTACTCTCTTGTGTGCATTCTGCACAGTGGCTTGGTCAGGTGGTTCGAGGAGGAAATCCAAAGACAGGTACTTTCTTCACCCAAGCCTGAGGCAGAATTGAAGGCGCTGCTCCCAGCCAGGAGCCTGCCCCTCCCACTATTCCTTGTCTCTTGTTCTTGTGGCTGATTAAAGTGGTCCCAATACATCAATAGACAGGACCTGTGAGTGCTGGCTGTGGGTCAGTGCCTTCTCTCTCCTGATCAACCCTGACAACGGGCAAGGTGCTGATTCCCTGGGAGCCGGCCCAACTCCTCACCTGGACCTACTCACCCATGGACAGATCAGGGCTCTGAAGTTTCATGAGGCCCCAGAAAGGATAAGGCTGGGATTGGGTACCAATCCCATACCCAAACCATGAGATGGAAGGATACAGCCTGGGTCAGGATAAATGTGCGCCAAGAACTTAAAGCTTCTGGGAGGTGACCAAGAGATGCAGGGTGGAGTGAATGAATGAATGGATCAATGATGGCAAACGTAAAGGTTGAAGTAGCCACAAGGTTGGAGGTCAAGGAGAGTGTTATTAGCAAGAAGACAACCTCGTTCCCAGCTCCAGGACTAATGGTCCAGCTCTATTGGCCACAAATCATATTCCTCCTCCTGCCTTGTCCTCACAGTCTCCTGAAGAGGGGGTTTACCTGAGCAAATGCTTCTCCTTCCTCTCCCCACCACTTCCCAAGTCTCCAAAGCTTGGGGAAGTGCCCTTCCCCCAGAGATGCCTGGAAAGGTATGACCAGAGGACTCCTAAAACTTTCTTGAAGGGCACAAATTGCTAAGTCCTGTCACCCCCCTCCTCCTCTGTTGGCTCAGGAGAGTGGCCTGAAGGGGATCAGTTGGGCTCCTGAGCGTCCACCCCTTGGACACCCCCAGAGGTTCAGAACTACACAGCTGTCCAAGGAAATACTAAGGTGTCCCCACAGTCCCTTTCAGTGCCTTCTAAAAACAGGCTTCCTAGTGCCAGGCCAGCAAGCCTGAACTGAGCACAGAGGTGTCCAGAAGGAACAGGTGGGCCTGCTCCA